TAATTCTTGCATTAAAGAAATGATCAGAAAGTTGAGATGGTGCTTAAACCAAGAGATGGTCAGCCAGGTAATGACTGGGTAATTTTAGGATTTTTGCTATTTTTGAAACGGGTTTGCATTTACGAGTGTTGCCTCTGTCTCTACTTGTCATGTTCTGCAGTGGTTGATGCAGACACGTGCAAAAGTTCCAAGTCATCTTCACGAGTGGCTTTCTCGTGGCTGTTGAGAGTTCATTTTGATATTGTCACACATAACTTCTAACAGGCACAAAAATGTGTACTGCACATAGTACTACTTTTCTACACCAGATGGCGCTGTTGGGGAAAAACAAACAAATGTGAGACAGGTTCACAAGTTAAGGAACAACATGACACGGTCTACAATAGTGATACAAAAGATGAGTGTCAGCTTACACCATCTGCTGGTCGCATGGGAGGAACAGTTACAATCAGAGTTGGAGCAAAAATGTGCCCAACTACGTTCAAAAGAAGTTACTGTCATACACTCAATCCTGAGTTGTTTTTTTTTTTTTTTTTTTTTTTTTAAAGAGATACGCATGTGTTGAATATTTTTCTCAAGCCACCGAAACAGCTTGTCAGTTGCTGCACAGATTGAATACTGAAAGAGAGCAAGTGTCTAATTCTTTCATAAAGTTAATGAGAACATTTTTCTGTGGCCTGAAGTGCACACCGCGCAGTAATATAGGCTGTTAAAAAGCAGACACATGGCCAATATTTGGTGGAACATACTTTGTTTTTGTTGTTGTTTACCCTAAAGTTGTTTTAATCTCCTTTTTTTTTCTTTTCTTAAACCTCTCTTTGGAGTGAAATGCACCCAAGGCCTCAGTATACCTTTGAAGTCAGGATGTTAGAACTTCCTCCTGGGCACTTGGTGATGGTGTGGAAGATTTGCTTGTTCAGATGATAAGTTACCAAGTAACCACAGTGAGTCGGAGCTCACCCAACAAGAAAAGGCAACAGCTATGACTCACTTTTTGTACTAAATACGGTTGACATCTCTGTAAATACATGTGTCTCTAAGTCCCTATAACACTGCAGAAATAAAACACGCTTACGCTTTACCGGAACGTTTGGTGTTTCATGACATATTTAAATAGAGCGTGAAAGAGTGCGTTTAGTAAAGTGTGCCTGATGGTCGCGAAAAAGTATGTGGGAGGTCAGGAAGTGGTGAGTTTGTCACGAGTGAAATGAGCCCCTGCAGTAGCTACAGGAGTTTATTTTGACAGTTTCAGGTGACGAGCACGTTGAGCCAAATGGAGGGACTGAACTATCTGATGCTGTTTTGCTGCTTTGCATTTGTCTGCGTTGATGGAGGAGGTAAGTTAAACCTTAATGTCATTTTGCTGAAGATGTGAGAAAGAACGGGGGAACATTTTAAGATGTTAGTCATTAGGTGGCAAAAAGAAAATGGTAATGAGTGAGATTACGGTGTAATTATTAAATATGCGAGTTATAAATTAAATACTTCATGTGTAGTTACATAAGTAAAAAGGAAGAAGACGAAAAGTTTAGAAATTAGGTGGGAATCAAAGAATTAATGTTTAATAATTGACAAAAAAGGGCAAAAAACAGTATTGATATGAGTATTATTATTAAATTATTAGTGTTATCATAAGAAAAGCTATTTTCCATGTTGTGGTTGCTGAGAAAACTAAATAAGGACATGTTTTAAATACGATGATGAAATGTTGGGGCAGTTTTGGGCTCCAGTGTCGGAGCCATGATGAGCTTCGATGTCCTGTTATGTAATTCAATCATCCACAATTTATAATTTAAATATGTACATGTTAACTTGCAAACAAATTTTGATGAGGTTAATTTAACAACATGCTGTAAAAAGAACATTGTGGTGAGCTATTGATAAGTTCAACGCATGATGTATAATTTTTTTGTGTTTACTGTGTTCTACTTTTTTTTTGAAAGGCATGTGTGAAGAATTATATTCAGACTTTTAATGTCAGTAAACTATGATGAGGACAAAGTGGTCTTATTACATTAAAACAAACTGAAATAAAATGAAGTGGTCACTATGTTGCAAAAATATCAATAAACTGAGAACCCTAGAAGGAATAGATAGATAGATGGATAGATAGATGATCTGTTGATCTCTCCTTCTCTTATTCAGTATTTCTTTTCTTAAAATTGGCCAGTCAGTACTTGTGTTATCTGTGTACAAAGTCTTTACACTGTCATTTGTGGGCATTACCAAGAAAATCCATCCATCCATCCATCCATTATCTATACACCACTTAATCCTCACTAGGGTCACGGGGGGCTGGAGCCTATCCCAGTTGAGTTAGGGCGACGGCAGGGGACACCCTGGACAGGTCACCAGTCTAACACAGGGCCACACTTAGAGACAGACAACCAAGCACACTCACATTCACACCTACAGATAATTGAGAATCGTTTAGAATTTTTTGGACTGTAGGAGGAAGCCGGAGAACCCGGAGAGAACCCACGCTGTGAACAGGGGGTCTTCTAGCTGTGAGGTGACGGTGCTAACCACCGATCCCCCATAATAAAAATGATAAAGAACAAGTAACAATGTCGTACTGGGAAGTACCTACATGCAGATGTCCTATAAAACTGGTAGACTTATTGGTCCTCAGCTGGTCTTCCTTTTTGTACATATTTTTCCTGTTTAAGAGTTTTTGGGTACTTTTTCTTCATCGAAATGAGGAGAAAGTGTCAACAAATTTGTGATTTGAGACGCTGGCTGAAGTAAAATTCACAGTTTTATGTGCAATAACCAGCCGTACTGTGTGAATACTGGTGTGTTTGGGAGATTTTGTTATATTGTTCAGAAACGTTTTCCTACTTTTATTCACCAGTTCCTGAAATGATAAACGATGATTAGATGATTCAGATGTATATTTTTTTGTAAATTTCAGACTCGGTTGGGTCATGTGAAGTTGCATTCGTGGGCCGGAGAGGAACGACATGGAAAATTGCCCCACAGCAAAGTCTGACAGTCGAGTGTCCTGTCAAACACTGTGGACAAACGGTAAATGTCACCTGGTGTAAACTCCTCAAGCCACACCGCTGTGAACAGCTTAATCAAACAGACAATATAGAAATAAGACAGCGTCACAACCCAGCTAACGATGAGCTAGTATCCTATTTAAGTTTCAAGCGGATTTCCGTTCATGATGACGGCCTCTACAGATGTCATTTAAAAAGGGTCCCATCTCATTTTGGATTCAGTCATCACATCAACATCTCAGTTTCAGGTATGTAGTTTTTTTTTCCTCCCTCAGTAGCAATATATAAAAGTAATACATGTGATTTTAAGTGTTGATTTTGTCTGCTATTTGTGATTCCCCAAAGATATATACATGGGGGCTGAATACTCTGATAAGGCAGCAGGTAGGAGTCTTTGTCAGATAATATATGCACATTTTAATAAATGCAGTCGAGGACCACTGATCTTTTTGTTCTTCTTCTGTAGTCATGTCACTGAGCGCTGATGATGATGATGATGATGATGAAGTTGCGCCCTGGCTGCCCTATTTCTGCATCACCATGAGCATAGTTGTTCTGGTTGCCGTCATGGTTGTGTTAACTCTCCTGAGATTCTATGGCTGGAAGCGTAAGAACAATAATATCAATTAACATTTTGGATTACTTTCAGAATATTTGCACATTTTAGCACTTTGAAACAACTTGGTGTTTGTCTTCTTTACAGGAATACTGATCTTCAAAGACACGAAGGGAGAGGTAATGAGATGCAGTGTTCGGTGTTTACAGTCGTCCTCAAATGTATTCATACCCTTCAATTAAAGAAGAGGCAAAATTCACAATAGTCGCTCAAATAAATAGAAACTGAAAAAAGTAATAATAAATAAAAATTTGCTAAATTATAATTGAGTGAAATAAGACATTGCTTTTAAATTGTGATTGACAAAAAATAAATAAATAAAATTCTAGCACTTTGCTGATGAGCAGTGGGCCAAAATCAAAATAGCTGTCAACAGGTGCAGAAGTCTGATTGAAAGTTACAGAAAACACTTGAATGAAGTGATTTGAGGACGACTGTATATAAGTTGATAAAGTCCGTTTCTAGCTGAGATGTAAGGAGACTGATGGACCTTTTTCACCGCAGACACTTGTCATAACAGGAAACGCGTCAGCATTATTCGTGATGGCTCAGTGCCATTAAATGTCCCCGTAGTTTATGACCGTGAGAAAGACGATAAAATGAACCTTCAGCCAGCTCAACTCAACAGAGTCCAGTCATTTGTAATGACACCTGACAAACCAAAGTGTCTGCTGTGAACAAGGTCTATACGGCTCCCAGTGTACCGTGAATAGACCATCTGGTTCGTCTAACTTAGTATGAGGACTGGAAGGAAACAGCCCGACTCACTCGCTAATAAACATGTCATTTATGTTTTTTTTTTATTAAGTCATGAAAAAGTCGTATTTTTGTGCAATTTGTAACCTTAAGGAGGCTGACGGACAGATGTTGTTACTTTTGGACAAAGCTAATTGAACTGTTCATATTTACATTTACACAAGAGCATCACTAAAGGTCATTTTAATGGTTTTTTTAATCCTCATTCTGATGTTTCTTTTTGTCACAGGAGATGCCCACTCAAATGATACCAGACCTCCCCAAGTGGACTGAGTCTTCCTCTCCTGCCCTACAAAGTCGTATCTTTGTTGTGAATGACATCTACTCTCCAACTACTCCAGAAACACCAAAATCACCACCTGCCCCGTCACCCGCTGAAGACCAGCCTGCTGCTTCAGACACAGCAGATAAAACGTCTGCAGTGTACGCTGTCATCAATCACAGTCAGCCTGGGATGGCTGCCAGAAAACAGAATGCGGCGACCAAAGAGGAAAAAAGTCCACAGTACACTGTCGTCAAAGTTCCCTGACACTTTGGTGTGTCACAGACACATACAGTTGAAATGATGGAAAAAATGTTGTGTCACGGAACAAGGAGATGGCTGAGCGAGATCAGCGCCGCTGCAGAAGGAGGTGAACGGAGGAGGCTTGTGGTCGTGCAGATGTACAGTGTTTCATCTAAAGTTGGTATGATAGACCAGAAGCAGTAATGAATATATTCTCTCATGCTCAGGTTTGTGAATACCTTGTTTTCTTTCTTTTAGTTTGCATTTGTGTCACTTTGGGGGGATTTTTCAGCTTTGGTGGTTGTTATAAAAAAGTTCAGTTGGTTGAGTAAATGTGTCATGTACAGATTCACTGACTTTCTCTTGCCTTTTTTGGCATGAAAGTGGAACTTTGGGGTGGAGATCTATGTTGTGAAAAAAAAAAAAACAGCTTTGTAATATAATCCTCGGCAGATCTGTGACTTTTGAAAACATGCTTTTGAGATGCGACAGTATTTATTAGGTATGTTTGCATTTCTTCTGAGCTCATTATTTTAAAGAAATGTCCATTTATACACTTCATACATTCTAAACATATTTACAGGTATTCTAGTTCACCCATTTTTTGTGTCAGAGACCAACCTCAGTGTTTATGCCTATGAACCTGGCCTTTTGACCACACCAGTGTGGTTATGTCGAAATGTGCAGGAAGTTAAAGACGGAAACACTTCTGAAGTCGACATTACGTGTGGTAGGAGACACCTCGTTTACTTTCACTTCACACATTCTGTAGTTACATAAAAATCATGTAAGAATAGGACTGATGGGCTAAGAAGAAGAGGAACGACAGAAACCAATTTAAGATGTCATTTAAAAGAATGTGTCAGTAGCCTGTAAGGTAGAGGTTTGTAACTGTCGTTGAGGAACTTTTAAAACAAATCAGCATCTACCTGCAACCCCTGATTAAAGAGAAAGGCACTGTTACATTTCTCAGAATGATTTTATGAGGCAATGCAAGGTGACAGTATTTTACCACGAAAAGAAGCAGCACTTACAGAAAAGTTAAAGAGAGAGAAATAATACACTTAGATATCCATCCATTCATCCATCCGAGTGTCCTTACTGGGATGTGAACCAGCAGCCTTCTTGCTGCGAGGCAATGATGCTAACCACTGATCCACCTGGTAGCCCTACACTTAAATATGTATAGCAGAAATTTTGCTTTCTTTACAATGATCTGGTGACACCTTCAGATCTATTGACTTTGCGCTTTATTTAGATTAAAATCGCAATACAAAATTTAAAAAAAGTAAAGTAAGTAATCTGCAATAATCTGCTATTATCAACAACCAAACCTTGTTATTAGTATGGGGACGACGCAGAAACAAATCCATACATTTCTGTTTGATGTTATCAGAGTAAGGTTTATAGCTGAGTGGGTTCTCACATACAAGGAGGATATGGTGACAAGTATTATTCAAGGATGATGAAGGATTTAAAGAAGAAACAAGTCAATAGATAGTGATACAAGACAAATAGGAGGCAAGTGTAGCAATCCAAGGAATTGTAATTAATAAAGTAGTAGTAATATTTACAGTGTGCAGAAATGTGCAAAGTATTCCCCTGAGAAGTGGCAGATCGTACATGATGTAGTCAACTTGAGAAAGGATAATCATTCATAACAGGGTACTTTTATCAGGTCAAAAAACAGAGACACCCATGAACTGCTTTTGTTAATCTGATTACTTTAAAGTCTTTTTCTTTCATTCGGTTTCAAAGCTCATCTGAGACTGTGATTGCTGTTCAGTCGTCGTCCTTATTCAACCAATGAAACCACAAGTACCTCATTACTGCTCATCTTCCCGCACGTACAGTTTACAGTTCCTATAGACAACCGTGGTAGTTATTTAGTCTTCTTCTGATCGAACACAATGTTCCTTCAGATGTACATCATGAAGCTCTAACCCACCTTTGTTGAAAATTTCCCCAAAGCTTGTATACGTATGACATTCCACTCTCTAGAAGGCACACCCAGGAGAGGAAGGTGAAAAGTTTAAAATATACACGACATGCTGCGTGTGAATCCTGGGAAGTGAGTCGAACAACTTTTCTGTATCTTGTTGGAAATTTTTCTTGTCAGCATCATGTCTGGTAGTCGCAGCCCACACACAAGTTCTGCGTCTGTACTTTCTCTCTCACACACACTCCCTCTCTGTCACACAGACGCACACACAAACACAAACACACATTGGTAATTGTATTTTTTTCTCGGGTGGACAAAGCCCTGATTCAGATTGGCAAAGAGATCGAGAGCATGGAGGCTTGTGCGAAGGCAGCGCTTGAGACGGGCCTGATTAGATCGAGCCTGAGGTCACTAAGTCAGTGTGTGCACCAGTCTGCAGCACTGCAGCTTAAAACCCCCACTGACAAGGTGCACATAAGCCCTGAATGCTTGTGGTTCTGCTCCCAAAACAGTCTAAAAGTCTAGTCCAGAAGTACAGCGCACTATGAAACAGTCAAGACATTCAAATTTGAGAAAGTTTAGAGATATGTTTCAATGCTGAGTGAGTGGAAATTCATGTTTAACTTACTTTAATTTAAGCTTTTCAATTGTCTTTAGGCATGAAGATGACCTATTGATCCAAAGTGAGGAGGCAGGGTTTGAGGGGTTTGTTGAGGGATATTGAGAGGACCAAAATGGCTCGTCTGGGTTTAACTTGCAGCTCTCAAGTAAAATTCTAATTTGTTGCTTACTGTTTTTTTTTTCTAGAGGCTTGCAGCATTGAAATGCAAAACACAAAGTCACCCCGCCTCAACGCACGGCACAACCTGTCCACCCGCACTCCTTACACACACAAACTCACTGAACTCCAAAATATACACACGCATTCCTTTTCATGGGAATGAAAAACGTTTCAGCCTCGGATCTTCGGAGAACATACGTTTCTGACTGTGGGATCATCTAATAAGCAGGCACATGGAAGCACACGATCTCATAGCACATGCAAACAGAGTTTTAAACATGTCCGAGACATGTGTGATTTGAACTTGCGTGTGTCCTCAGCAGTGCAACATGAAAACCGTCTGACAGAGTAAGCAGGAATGCTAACGGCATGTGGTTTTTATACTCTAAAAATACAGATGTCTGCAAGATGAGCAAGGAGTGTAAATCAATTAGAAAACTATTGAAATGTTTTAGTTTTTCAGAAGCGTTGATGCCTAATTAAGGCCCTGTTTTAGTTCCACATGTGATATTATTTCTAGTTCATGATACATACATATTCTATATATTTATACAAGTGCTGAGGTACATCCACAAACACACATCTCGAAAGAAAATATAAATACGGTATGTTATCCCAGAACTTATGAATACATCATACATCAGAGCAGAATTGACATGTACAGTCGCCTCTGTGGGAAGTCGTGTGCACGACGTGTGTGCAATTTTTCACTCTGCAAGATCCACCAGAACCTGCCTGTCTTGTGATTTAAAAAAGAAAAAAGAAAAAAGAAATGCCTCAAAAATGAGCATCTGGCAGCCATGTTTGGCACAGCAGAAAGGAATTTCGTGTTCTCCAGAATCCAGTGTAAGATGTACAAAGCTGAGAAGCTAAAAAGTGAGTGACACAGATAAAGATACAGAGGTGTGTTCTTTTTGATTTTTTTTTATTATTGAGTTTGCTGCTTTTATTACAACAACTTTACATACGTGGTTGGTTGTGATGCATCTTTTCTGACTGGATGCTACAACACATTTCTGCTTGTGTAAAAAATGCTCTGAAACCACTTTCAGAAGTATTCTACTGTAAGGTGTGTGCTCACGATCAGTGTTGCATGCTTGTACTGAAACTCCAGAAGAACGCTGCCTTAACTCTGTCCTTCATGGCATTCTTGTTAAAGCAAGTAGCTGACAGATGCAAATCATATGCCTTGATATGCATTGCTATTTTAAACACAAAGCGTTTTTTTTTTTTTAAAGCACCTGCGAACATATTACCTCAGCATCATTGCATTATATTATGTCGGTGCCACTTCGATGCAGTGCAACAGAAAAGTGAGTTGGATGTGTGGAGGAGCCGCTGTGGCAACAAGACACGCATTCCTTTCAGGGGGCACCGAAAAAGGTTTCAGTGCCGTTTCCTCAGGCGATTGATTTAAGCCATCTGACCGTGAACTCAACCTCGAACAGACACACACACACGAACACAGACTTTGAAACATGTAGAAATTACACAAGTAAGATATAAGTATGCAGCCCTTTAGTTTGTCTAATACCACCCGTGACCCCACCCAGCTTTTCACAATGCACCAAAGTGGCGTTCGTGTTAGTTCGTCTCTACAATGCTGGTTTGGCTGTGGGAACTAACTGGGTGCAATATTATCAATGTTAAAAAAAAAAAAAGGCTACATCATCGGCATTTTCTTTTATCATTTCAACGAGAGTAAATAATGAGTTATGAGGGAACATTTTCAGCTGTGGATAAATACACATTTGCTAATGAGTATTTACAGAAGAACTACGAGATTGAGAGCCCATGTTCATGTCACTGACAGAAAAACATAAAACCTTTCCCTTAAGGAGCAGGTGAAACATACAGGCAAAGACAGGAAACTATCTTGAGGACATGCAATACGGTGCAAAAAAAAATAAAAAATCACTGTATTTAATTTTGCAGTTGCTCGTGGAATGCGTGATCATCAATTACAGAGTCAGAGAGAAATAAAAGGATCTGCTCCGGAGTTCTTCATAGACACCATGTGAGGACAGCCTGGAGATTATATAAGAGTCGGACGCAGAGGCAGCAGAGCAGAGTTGAATGTCGTTTGTCCAGTTGGTGCTCATGAACAAGATTGTACTGGACATCCTACGGAGGTGTGTCGGAGCATCTTCCCTTTGTGCCAAGGTAGTGATGATGAAGATGCAGCAAAGGGAAGCAATTCTGCAAGGCTGGCTCTGACAAGCGTGGCCTTCTCCTCTCAGTGGCTGGTCTCATCTGAAAGATTAATCAGCTGAAACGAAACGTGTGGTGACACAAAAATGCTTAAAAAAAATAAAAAAATAAATAAAAAAAATAAAACAAATTTTTGCTGCATACAAATACAGTCGTCCTCAAAGGTATTCATACTCTTCCATTAAAGAAAAGGCAAAATTCACAAGAGTCACTCAAAAAACTAGAAACTGTAAAAAGTAATAATAAATAAAAATTTGCTAAATTATAATTTAGTGAAATATGGCATGGCTTATGAATTGTGGTTGAAGAGAATAATTTAAAAAAAAAAAAAAAAAAGCTGTCCCAAACAAACTAGAGCACCTTGCTGATGAGCAGTGGGCCAAAATCAAAATACCTGTCAACAGGTGCAGAAGTCTGATTGAGAGAACCACAATTCAAAAGCAATATCATGATTTATTTATTTTTTTATTTATCATTGCTTTTGTCAATTTCAGTGACAGCTGTTTCTTTCCTTCTTTAATGCAAGGGTATGAATACATTTGAGGACGACTGTACACTTAGTTTGTAAATCACGTGCTATAAAGTAGCAATATTAGGTTCACATATAAAAAATAAAGCATGTTGATCAGAATAAGTGTCAGGATCCTGGCAGTGCCTCACTCTTCTCCTTGTACAGTGAACAAAATTATAAACACAACATGCAAATGGTCTTCTTTTCTGACTTTATAGAAAAAGTTTGAAATCTCACTTCTATTGTTAGAAATAGAAAAGAGCTAAGGGTAAGTTGTGCACAAGACATTGGGACAACCATGAAGCGACTATAAACGGCCACCTTAAAACGCAGCTTTGCTTGATTGACACAATGCCACATGACAAAAGAAAGACAAAAACATGCTGTTGGCATCCTGGATAGTGGCATATCAGAAAGAGCTGCACAACTCCATCATTTGTTACCTAGGAAACAGTTTCAGATAGTGCTGCATGACAGACAATCATATGCAGAAGAGACTGCTGATGAAGTTGTTGATTTGCACAGTCATTGGATATCTGCTGAAACTGTGAGTTACCACCAGAAGGAAGTTGGTTTGCAATTTTGTGGTGCCCACCAAGGCCTTGATCTAACCGCAGAGTGCTGCTATAATCGGCTCCAGTGGGTCATCAGTCACATTTGTTTAACATTGATAGGATGGAGGACGCTAGGTGATGAAAAGGGTGGATACATTTGTTACTGACTTTCTGGTCTACGGCACCACTCTCCATCTGCTCATTATTATTTCTATTAAAGTGCGTACTTTGTTGTTTCATGATGTCCATTCTGTTGGACTGATGCCATGTGTTGGTACAACAAATGCTGAATTACTTTTCAGCTTTTTCAGTTTTCTCTGCTCTTCTTTTTCTGGTAGTAATCCTTGAACATATCTAACCTTCATTTCCCAACCTCCTGCTGCATAAAAACTCCAGCTTGTCTCTCCAGTTGCGCCACACCGTTCTGCATATGTACACGGTAGTACGGCCTTGGTCAACCTCTACTGAGGTTTATACTTCTAGTGTTTCTGTTGTGCTTCAGGCAGCCTTCTTGTGCTGGATATCCACCTACTGCTCCAGACCTCTATGCTCAGCTCTTGAGCCTCTACATGCTCAGTCCAGCTTCATTCCCTGCACACGCCCGGTGCCTCCACCAGTCTAACCAACCTTCGGGCCTTCCTGGATCCTCTCCTGGAGCGTTCTCTCCCTTCACCGAGACCTCCATTGCTGCAGCTAGACACTAAACTCTCTTCTAGGATCACCAACCTTCCTCACCATCAAATACGACAACAACGTATCCTTTAAACCTCTCTTGTGTGCTCTAAGCATTGCATTTGGGTCCATATTTAGCATATAACTGTTTAAAAAAAAACTTCCCAGAAAACACAATAAATCCTCATGAAAACCAAGACGGGTAAGTTCTTTATCCAACACAGATTGTTCCATTGTGTTCAGTGTATAAATCCAGCTGAACGCAGCAGACATGCCGGCTCCAGATCCTTTTTTAATTGTCTTGTCTGTAGAGGCTGTTTTAGCTCCGCCTGGATGGACAGATATTTCCTCAACACTACTATACTTGACTTTGTTCATGCACAGATGGAAAATAACGATTGCATGCGTAAGCAAAGTGCAGATGGAGTGCAGGTAGCGAAAAAAACGACAAAAAGTGACACAGCTTTGATGTCGTCATATGTAAATGGTGCGAGCAGGACATCGTGCAATCAGTTACAAAGTCCAAATCTCAATATTTTTAGGGATAACTTGTGCTAAGTGTATTCAAATATAAGCCCAACTCAATGCATGTGCCCCATTTGTCACTGTGCATTGTAATTTGATTCATTATTAACATACAAAAAACTGATTAATGCGATAATTACTTTAACTTGATGATACAGTAAGCAGCAGCACTGAGTAATGTGCATACTCTTAATCATTAAAAAAAAACATCTCAGAGCATATAACACCAGTGTTTTATAGGTGAGACAGTGCTGCAGTGCATCCCAGTGACTCACTGTTCCATCATTGCTTCAGGAGCACCCTGGCAGTTTTCCAAAACCCACAACAGGGAGGGAGCCCTAAATTATAAAGTCTGTTGTCTTTTAATGATTCCTGGAGTTTAAGAGGATGAAGGTGGAGCGAGTGGAATTCTGCAAAGGCTTTTCTAAACAGGCCAGCAGAACGCCCACATCAAAACGCTTATGGTACATAACTACACATAGAGATATTATACACGCTATGAAATCAAACACAATGCAAAAATATTGTGTTTTAATTCCCTTCTTCATGAAATGAACTGTCTCATACACGAAAAAAGTACTTTACAAGATCTGTTCTGTCCCTGTATTTATTGCTCATTTGCAAAAACAGATAACTCCATCTTCACAAACCTTCAGAAAACCCACTTTTCCATCGTCTACCTGAGACAATATCAGTCAAACTTTAGGTTTTTTTTTTTTTTTTCTTTTTTTTTCCCTTGGTTCAACTCCCTTCGGTTTCGTTTTGTTTGTTTTTTTTTCAGGCAACCACCAAAAAATTAGTTTTCTGAAAATTTACAAAAATGGAGTTATCTGTTTTTGCAAATGAACTCTTCATATGTAAAAATAATATTCTTTTTTCTAGCTTTCTTTTCTGTCCCTGTAGATGTTTAAAATATCTGTGAACTTAAATTTATCTAGTCAGTTTCACCCATTATATTAAAAAAACCCACTTGGCCAAGAGCAAACACATCAGAGCATGATACATGGTCTACAGTTTTTCGACACACTCACCTTCTTTGCGCAAAAAACACTTCCAAAGGCAGAAGCACAGCGACATAACCAGCAGAGCCGCTACTGTGGTGACTGAGATCAGGATGGTGAGAGCCGTTCCAACTAGAAGGAAAAAAAACAGAGACCTGATTAGGAGTTTTATTATCTGCCATAAATGTGTAATTTAGATGCTGGTATTTATGTGGCTGTGTGTGCCAAAGCCTGAGCCGGTCTGGGCACAGCTTTCCAATTATGGACCGTCCCCGATTAAATCTGCGATTGAATTTATAGTGTTGCTCTCTAATTGGTGCACTCTTGACCCATTAAAATTAAATTGAAGCTTATAATTGACAGTGCTGCTCGAGTTATAAACACATTTATCTGCTGCAAATTATTAGCTGCATTACAACTAGTGAGGACTTTTTTTTTCAGCTAAAGGCATGATTTGAAGATTTACTTTCCAGGACTGAGTGGATTGAGAAGATCACTATCACTCTCATAACTCTTAATTAAAGCTGCAGTAGGCAGAAAACTGGAAAAGGGCGGAATAAACACACAGGAACTTAAAAGTACATCCCTCGTCCTGCAGCTCTCCCTCCTCTGTCCTAAACCTCTGCCACCAGCCGAGCATGGGCCTATGCAGGCGCTTCAAGCATGCAAAATAATTAGGTCAAAAGTCAACATTCACTTGTAGCTTCACACAGGATATGAATCGCTCTCTCCTGAGTGAAAGTCATGTGTTTAACTCATTCAAACACCACATCTTGCTTCCATTGTGGACTTGCTCTTTGTATTATCCCAGTGACCAGGCTAAAGCAGCCCAAGTCTCCTGAAATCCTGAAAACTGAGCCAAAAGGAGTTGCAGGAGTTTAGTCTTCTCTCAGACCACTTGGATTACATTATGTTCAAAGACTACAATGTATTTTTTTCCCCTTCAATAATGCTAAAAATGTTGCCTTTCATATGAAACTATAAAATATATCACATGTCTGTTAGTTTAACTTGGCAAAAAAAATAGAAAGAGGTAGGTTAGCCTGGCTCTGCTTGAAGATCATAATTCAAAAACCATCTAAATCTCGTTAATTACCAGAGCTTATTAGTTAAATCTGATCAGGGTTTTGCAGATCAGTGATTTGGGTAGAGCCAAGCTTCCTGTGTCTTGTGTTACCAATCTTTGTCAAGCCCCTGACTGTCTGAATCACCAGTTGCGACTGCAAGTCTAAGTCAACCAGTCGCTGTGCATTTCCAGCAGGTTTCTTCTCTCCTTCCACCATCTACCATTACCGTTTTCAAAATCCCCTTCACTACAGCACACATCAGCAACATCCGGGATGCAACCTACCACACTGACAATTTCAAGCTTTACAGGATTGTGTAATAAGCCAGCCTTGCTATTTTAATGACAACACTCACCTCCCTGCATTCAACTGTTCCACCAAAACAAAGTCCGTCACTATTGTGGTGGCTCACCATCACTGCATCCTAAGCTCAGCAAAACTTAAGACGATTTTGATTTGTTTTAAGAAAACAGCCAAAGAAACCAGAACGCTTTTTTTTTTTTTACTGTAGAGCAGAATGATAATGGGGCACAGCTCGACCATTCTGCACAGTGTGGTGTCAGTGATGGTCTGGCTAATCAAGACTAGGCCTCAAGAACCAGTCCAACTGTGCTATAATGGCCAGACTGCATTACTACGACTTCCGCATCCCATTTGATCCACTTAAAATGTCTAAAAACACCATATAATTATTTGATTTTGTCCCATTCATGTGAGCAAAGAAAACGTCAGCTGGGTCAGCATGCTCCCTGTACACTTGGCTAAGAGGGACGCTGACACACTTGCCCTATGAGCCTAAAATTGAGAGGGCAAGTGGAACATTGGGGTATCTAATGGAGGAAGCGTGGAAAACTTCTTTAGCACATGTGCCACTGATGCAACTATCATTTGAATGCATGAGGCACCATCTTGTAATCCAGCATCAAGTTCATCTTGACACATTCATGGTCTTTGTTATCTGTAGCTTCTTGGAGACAAAGACGAGAGCGATAGAGAACTTCTCATCTAAGCATATTTCCGAAAATGCTGACCTATGCCTCTCAGCAAAACAGATTTTAGAAACAGCTCTGTAGAGGTAAGTGAGACACTCATCTGAAGGATGTGCAAGTATGAGAACGACTGCAATGATGGCTGACATTCAACAACATTCTCTGTTTTCAGGTATGTGATGATATATATAAAAGGCTTGGAGTGGGCCAAGACAAAAAAAAAACACAATGTTATTAGTGATGATGGAGATCCACGGGAATGCAAAGATTTACTGCCACCAACTCACTCTTAGTGTTCATGGATACAGCTATGGGTGACTCAAGCCCTTTGTGGTGCACCAAGCATTTGACGGACACGTCTTTGAGCAGCCCTGATTGGACGGTCAGCGTACTGATGACCAGGGTGGTCCCGTCGCCCTGAGGGAGCTGCGTGGTCACGGGGGGGCCCATGGTGCGGTTATCTCTCTCCACGTTCCACACAATCTCCGCTGGAGGCCTCGACACACAGGTGCAGTTGGCCTCGATCACACCCGGAGAGGTGGTCTTGTAGCTCACCTGAGGTTTCGGCAGCACTGGGAGGAATAAAGAGCGACAGTAAGATAGAAGTAAACCACACACTGGCAGACATTTACTCACAAACATACTGTTCGATAGACTGCATGTGGCACAGATGACGGGTTTACTGAAGCTTGCTGCTATTTTTTTCAATCTGAAAGCTCTCAAGATGTTATGACATAGTAGTAAAAAACAAAAACTGTAACACTGAGTAAAATATGTAAAGTATGCTGTGGTAGGGTGGGCATATGAAACCGATTATTTCAAACCACAAATTGGCCCAAATTCATATCTTGGTTTAGTTTGCGGTTGTGTATCTTGTAAGTGTCTTCAGCTGAATTGCGGCGATGATACCTGGGATAAAACCTTAAAGCTTTCGGATCAGCGAAGATATGTGAATTCCTGCACTCTTAAGATCCATAAGTAAACGTCTGGCTGCTTTCAATTCCCTGTTCTCCGGGCTCAGCGAGGAATGTGATGCGCTGGAACCCAGAACATTTTTGTTGGCAGGAACGCATTTAGCCACAGATATTTGGCCCTCATGGCTTTAGCATCTTCTCAGACTTCTGACTGATGAGCTTCACCCACCATCGTTGTGGATTGCGTCAAAAATTTTGGGGTGGTTCAAAAGGACAACAGGAACAAATTCTGAGAATAATCCAAACCATAATGATACCCGAAGGAGCAGGAAGCCGCCGTGAAATTTGGAAGGTTTGTGGTTCTTTATTTAAAATTTCCATCAACACCAACTCGGCACTACTATTATGTAGATAATATAAAATCATACATGTCCAAATGTAAATATGTGTGATTTGATTGTTGTTCGGGCACACAGTATAAAGATCGTCATTTTCCAGCTACTCTAAAAGTAAATTAATTTATATATTTACTGTTTTCATATAGTTTCCAGTTAAATTTGTTGATGTAATTACTGCACTCAACTGCAATTTTGGGATGCTTTTAGTTTACTTGACTGTTTCAGTATGACATTTGTATCTAAAGCATCTAAAATAATAAAAAATTATAGAAACATAATTAAGAAACATATAAAAAAACGTTTCCACACGGTTTCTATCAATCATAAGCACATAAAATATAATGTATTTGTACTGATAAATATACACAACAGCATATAAAGTAGATAAAATTAGCTTCACTTTAACTAACTTCATCAAATTAAATTAATTATCGCAATCCAAATACATCACTCATCACGTGTTTTAATATGTTAGACATTTTTTTCTATATAGTGAGTACTTCTGCTTTTGATATTTACATAAGTACATTAAAATTTGAGTATATTACCCATATCAACACTGTTGATGCGAATACTTAACTAAATAATTGGAATAGTTCTTCCACCACACACATTTTGTATGACAAATTGGCTGAGGGTGTACAACAATCTTTACTTCAGTCTCCTTATCTGTGTAGAGTTGAACCCAATGATCCCCTCAGCTGTGATTACTTGATTTTTTTGCAGAGCAACTGCATTACAAAACCAATTTTGATTACATTGTTTGATAATGTTTAAATGCTTAAAAATGTAAAGAAAACTACAAGTTTTGAGCTTTTTTTTCCAATTGAAATGCTCTTATAGAGGCCTCTCAGACATTTTCTAACTTACAAAGCGAATTTTGAATTTGCTTAGATTTGCTTTATTATTTACTCATGTTGTAAAATCGTAATTTCTTTCTGTTGTGAGAATATTTCAAACAATCTGGAGTCATGCAGTGACCTACTGATGACAAAAGTGTTTTCGTCATCGTTTTTCACGGACAGTTTGTTAGAAAGTGGGTGAAAAGGAGGGAGGAATCACGTCACATCCAAAGTGGAACGGGGGTGGAAGCCTGCTGGCAGTAACGGACAGCAAGAAAAAAGTTTAATGCTAATCGTGCCTCAGCGCTAGGAACACCTACTGTACTGTACAGTTCAATTTCAAACAAAAGCACATCTGTTTCTTGAGATAACTGTGAGAGAAAGGGAACGGGAGAAAAGTGGAAAAGCGAACGAGCACAAAGGGAGAGCGAGACAAAGCACAGAGGGAATCACTGTGTGCTGCAAACACTGACACAGTCATGCATCAGGACCTCACTCCCTGCCTCCATCATTCTTTCGAATGGTCCATTCTTTACATGAACACATTAGTTCTGTGTGTGTGTGCGCGCGTGCGTTAACATATCAGCCGACACCCGGCCTTACTGCTGGATCATAAAAGCAAAAAAAAAAGTAGCCACAACCAAAAAAGAGAGATCAACATTCCTGTGTAAATCCCAGGCGTACCTGTCTTTCCTGCCTGCAAAGTCCAGACTAAGTCCTCCTGCACTTGGAACGAAGTCCTATGTTTTCCCCACATCCTCTCAGCTCCTACATCCAGTGTCGGGCTGAACGATTGGAGGAAAATATCTAATTGCGATTTTTCTGACAGATGTTACCATTCGATTTGCGATAAAACGCTTTAAAGTCGAGCTTTGGTTCATTATCCTCTATGTAATAGATTTAAAACATGTGATGGAGCGTTAAGACATTAGATACCAGCAGAAGTGTGACTGTCACACTAGCGGGATGCTGTGAATTTATAAAACCATTCGTGGGACAGTTAGAACTCTGGATCAGACATATATCCTGAACTGCAACATTTGGAATTTGCTAATTTTATTGTTTTAATGTGATTTTGATTTGAAATTTTAGTTTATTTTCTAATCTGTTGTGGAACACATTCACTAACGACTACAGCCCTTCAAATATCCATCCATCCATCCATCCATCCATCCATCCATTATATATACACCGCTTGATCCTCACTAGGGTCGCGGGGGGGCTGGAGTCTATCCCAGCTGACTCAGGGTGAAGGCAGGGGACACCCTGGACAGGTCACCAGTCTATCACAGGGCTACACTTAGAGACAGACAACCAAGCACACTCACATTCACACCTACGGACAATTTAGAATCACCAATTAACCTCAACATGTCTTTTGGACTGTGTGGGAGGAAGCCAGAGAACCTGGAGAGAACCCACGCTGCACGGGGAGAGCATACAAACTCCACGCAGAAAGATCCTGGTGACCTTCTTGCTGCGAGACAACGGTGCTAACCACCGAGCCACCTTGCAGCCTCCTTCAAATATGTGCATCTGAAAAACCTTTCTAAGTTCTACCAGTGAGGTCAACACGGAAGTAGCACGATTGTAACTGTAACAGCAGCAATAGCACTGGCAGCAAAAAGATTTATGGCCTCCGAGATGTAATTGTGGGTCAGTCTGCTACGCCAGAGTAAACTATGTCAGCGTGATTGACTGCCTTGAAATTTGGTGTGAAATCTTGAGGGTCATTTGGTACAGACAGTCAGCGTTATTGTTCCCTTGACTTTTCATCTCATGCTGGCAACACGTCAGATTTTTCCACTTGTCCAACACTTAATTTAAAAACATTTAAATAAAAGAACACCAGAGTAGGTTTGGACATTTCAGGAGACTAATTAGAGGCTTTAATTGTCTGAATTAACTAAATCAAGCGAGAATCTTTCCAGGTCACAGTCTATTTAACACAACGTTTGCCCGATGTTTCCACATGAGTTTGATGTTTCTTTGCTGAGCTACAGAAGAGGGATATATTCTGGCGGTTTCATGTACAACTTGCTACCGAGACGAAACAGTAAACCTACTGACTGCCACCAGTTAGTGAACAAAGGCTGTGATAGCTTCATGTTAACTCCAGCTGAAGATTCAATTTGTATATTTCTCTTGTTAAGAAGGCAAAAAAGCATTTTTCCCAAAATGAATATTTCTGTTAAGGAGGTGTTTTTGCACATGGAAGAAGTTTGGATTCCCTTACATCGATGCTGCACGAGAAAGGTATCACTACACAACCAGCATGAGGAGCAGGAAAGATTACAACAGCTAATGACACTTTCAAAGATTGTATCAAGTTAATCCTTTTATCAAGATTTATGTTGCACATAATAAGGTTTTGTACACCTCCTGCATTTCCACGTGGGCCAGCTTACTGAGAAAAACAGATGTTTACCATAGGTGGAGAGGCAAATCACGGAGCTCTTCGGCCCATCGGGTAATGTGTCATACAGGCAGGTGTAGCAGCCCTCGTCCTGGATGGAGACTGGCTGGATGGTGAGCTGACTGTCAGACAGGGAGGCGCTGAGCCAGACCCTTCCCTGGTACGGCGGCTCGATCATGGGGTCGCTCCTCTTTGCAAAGGAGGCCACCTCTGTGGACTCTCCTTGGGCAGGAATGTGTTTCCATACGATCTGCTGCACCTTTTCTGGCAGGCCGTAGGAGCACGAAAGGGAGGCCCTCTTGCCGCTCACTGCTGTTTTGTTGCTGTCAGCGGTGACTTGAGCTGTGGGGGTAAAACAAGCCCACCATCCAGTGAAAGAATGATGGATTAGGAGAAAGGATAAGGAAGGGAACAGGGAGACAGAGGGTGCAAATGGGACAATGTGAATATTCAGAAATATGAGGCACCCAAAACAGAAACCAGTCACTGGAATCTGCAGCAGCTGTTTCTGGTTAGTAAAATGAGCCCTCCTTCTCCCACCGCTCCACAGCTCTTTATTAACATGACTGGCTGAGCCTCAGCAGGCTCATCAACTTGTGTTCAGAGGTTAGCAGTGGTTGAGGACATCTGTATTCGCATAGTTTCATTTTTTAATGGTCGGGTGCAACAGGCAGGCATCCAAAATCAGTTAAACCATTACAAGGCCAGCAGGGAAGGAAGAGATGGAAACTGAATTCAGACAACCATCTTTATGATTCTCATGTGACATCTCTGTATTAAGCCCTGTTAGTTTTCACTTACACTGAGAGCCGCTTTATATTGAATAATTACTCTGACAAATCTCTAAATCAAACAGAAAACAGATGTGAATGATACTGATAATTTATCAAACAGAAGACAGGCCTTTCATTCAGGCCACTATATCAGGATACCCGAGTTCCCCGGTTCCTCTCAGAGGGTCGAGATCTGCCTTCACTGTGTCACCGAGATCATTACTCAACCAGGCGTCAAGCGGAGGCTTCTCCCACCCAGTTCATGACTTTTCTGTGTCATGATTGAGAATCTAGCTTATTAGAGATGACTATAGCTAAGTCTATATTTTTTTGCATTCATTTTTTTCTGCATACTGTAAGTGTTGCAGCTGCTTTTCTAAGCTTCATCACTGCATTTCAATACAGTACACGGCTTCAGCTGTTCAATACTTAATCTAAGTTTGTTCCACTTTTAACCATTAAAATCTCTGTTATGAGTTCAAATAAAAGCAGCAGCAAACCTCTTAGATCTAAATGCCTGTGACTTCTTTCTTATCCCTCTGATCTAATTATTAGGCTACAAAACAGAAGCTTTATTTTAAGTCTTTTAGAGTGGTAGACAGTACACGGATGACAGGAAATCTGATAAGCAAGAGATGGGAGCTGAACTCTGGACTCCTCACTGCAGTTTATGGTCAGCACCTTCAGTCCCTTCAGGCATGCTAGAGATGATAAAAGGGCATCTCCAGTATACCATAAATCATGCAAATCCCATTTAATTTTCAACATTTTTGTCCCCCTTCCCAAAGATTATGAACACTAAAGCACATCGACAATGACATCATGCAACATGAGCTTGTTCAGTAATTACATTTAGACAGCTGTCATTTTATTTCAATTAACTAGCGATCATTTATTCACATTTAATGACTTATTATAGGAAGAGAAATAAACTATTTCCACTATAGTCATATATAAATGTGTATCCGTTCCTATTCTGCATTGAGACTGCTATCTATTGTGATATCTATGATACATTTATATGGTTGGGGACCTGTGGCTTCTGAGGTTAGACATGCATGGTCTTTATCTAAACTATAACATTCTGGCGTTGTTCACATTTTCATTCATTAGGATCAACATTCTTATAACCAAAGGCCTTACTCACCGGTAACAGTGAGACACGTCACTCCCTGCTTTGAACCCGTAGGATGCAGGTCAAAGATGCACGTGTAGCATCCTTCGTCGCGGAAGCCCACCCTGCGAATGGTGATGGCCGACGTGTCCCTCGGGGAGGAGGCGAGCTCCACGTGCTGCTGTCCGCTCACGCTGTCTCTGTTGCCGGGCTGGTAGCTCAGCAGGGTCTGGTTCTGGACGTCCAGCCAACGCACCTGCCTCAAGGATTCCCCTCGCTCCTTCGAAACAGTGCAGGTCAGGGTGAAGGGCTTCTCCACTGGAGCTTCCAGTCGCTCTGGTGCTGTTACTTTGCCTGAAACATTTACTAATATGTTAGTCTCACACTTTGCATAGGAAACAATAAGCTTAACAGGTCTCAGATGGACTTTTTTTCTCTCTCCTCTGCTATACTCACCCTGTAGTTGTCCCACCATCAATAGGACTAAACACACCTTCAGATAGATCCTACATGAGGCCTGGACCATCATCTTCTTCACTGCTCAGGAGGAAGAGGTGGAAGAGAGGAACTGAGATTTCATAAATGAGCATAGTCCGCCCAACATAAACTAAAACTCTCCTGATTATAGAAGGAGTGATACAATCTAATCTCATTTTATTTTACTGCTATAGGCAAAGCGAAGTATTTTTCTGAAGGGCTATAACATCCATTGTGCACAGATCTTTAGATCAGTGTGCACAGTGAGTCTTAAAGTTATCAAAGCCCGTTTTTTCTGCCACATCACTGACTTAACCATTTAAAGATGTATAAAACAAACATGCAAATAACTTAAATGAACACAATCATTACACAGGAAATATATGCTGCACTTATATAAAAGTTTCACTTTTTTTCCCTTTTGGTTAAATGAGATCATCTGTAGTTAATCAAGCGAACAAAGAAGAGCTCAAACATCTGTCACATATTCTCTAGTCGGTTTATCATAGAAACGACACACTTAAATATTGGAAACACTTACCTCTTGTGTCCTAATACAAAAGTTTAAAGCCAACAGTTTCAGACGTTCTACCTCTGCAACATCTCGGGCATCATTACGATCCAGCACGTTTTGGTGACATCGCTCCAGAACAAACGAGAAACTATTTTTACGCATCCAAATGTTTTCTACTGAGCGCACCACCAGCACAGTGAACAGCTGCCGGCTGCAGCGGCGCACTGAAGTGGTGCTGTGGTCCCAAAAAATAGCTCATGTTTTGGGCTCACACTGCTCTCTAGTGTCACTTTGTGCGCACTGCTTAAATGAGGCCGATGGAGATGTATCTGCATGAAATGTCTTTCGCAGCAATCCCGTAACAGTGTACCAATATTGAAGAGTTTCCGTACAACATAATTTACGCATGGCTAAATAATAAGCATTTTTTTTTTTAATTTAATGGATTAAATTCTAAGTTTTTTTTTGTTGTTGTTGTTATTTATTTTGTATTGTTTGGGGTTTGGCCAGATTTTGGATTACCAGTGGCCTCGTAACATTAGTTATACAACTTCATTCCCCCCCAACTTCAAACCAGTTAGAAACACAAGAAAGAACAACAACAACAATAACAACAACAACAATAACAACAACAAATATACAAACTTGCAAGAAATATTGCGTTCATGCATAGACATATATGTAGTCCCTCTGTGTGAAGGGGTTGATAAAGAAAATATGTTTTTCAAATGTTAAATACAGCTTCTTTACCATAACTAACTATAAATACGTGTTTGTTTGTTTTTTAAAGCGTAGGAACTACATTATAATTCCTTAAAAAAAAGGAATTATTATACGTCGACGAAGCGTTAAATAATTAATCCATCATCTTGACTTATAAAATAATATTCAAAGTCATAAAACTAGCTTGTTATTGTTAAATCTTTTATATATATATATATATATGTATATCGCGTTTTTCTAAAACTACGTCACAGTTGTGCGACGGAAGTATTTTCGCCGGACTCATGCTGGTGACGTACCCAGGCGACCGTTGTAACTTGACAGCTGAGCAAGAAATACTCCTAAAATGAGCTGATTAGCGACATAACAAGCAATTTGCTTTCAAGCAAATCATGTTGGCGTGACCTGAAACAGTCCCCGACCCGACTGCAGTGAATTTTCGACGGACTCAAAGCGTGTTTTACAGACATCATCATGTCGTTTCTAGTGGACTCAGTCATCATGTTCACCTCACAGGTAATGATGAGTTGGAAAAGTCGACAGATTGTATTTGTTTCACTGAACAACAATGTCCAGCTCATGTTGTAAGCTGACGTATATTCAATGTTTCGTGAACTGTGTGAGTCTCTTTGACTGCAGGGTTGTGGTGCAGAAGTTTTAATGTGTCTTATCTATTGACGTTCATGGGAGCAGCTCTCCTTATGTCTCTGAGTTATTTCACTCTGTGCGTTAGATTGTAACCAGTCCAGTTGTACTGGTTGAAATAGCTTTAAAGGTGCAGTTCCACTGATCTGATGCAGGTGCATTACTTGCCATAAAGCTGCAGCTGCTACTCTGTGACTGAAATGTCATTAATGCTGCAACATGGTTTCATTTCTGAGGATTGCATTTTAAAGATTTAACCCACAGGATAACTGCAAAATAAATCGTTTCTTTATATTACAAATAAAACCCTTCTGTAACTCATGCTAATTATAGTTTAGTTTCTAAACATAAACAAGGATAATAAACATACCTAACACAAATAGACTAAAACTTTGAAAACAATACTACAAAAAATGTTAATTTTCAAAAACACACACTTTTGCTTTTAATGCGGACATAAAGTTCTGTGTATTTGCATGTTCTGACTGTTTGAGCCAGATCCAGAGTAGTCGTAGAACTACACTGGGAAATACAGCACTAACATGAAGCACGCTATCACTTTTTGGCACAGTCAGCATGTTAGTGTTTGACAGATGATTACAGACATTCCCTCATAGTGAGGTCACTGTTGCATTGTGTATGTAGTTAACCTCATTTGACACAAAATGCCAACATCTTTCAGAATGTAATATTTTTGTATCCTTATGCTATATTTTGTTCTAGATAATAATGAAACAAAACCAAACAGACTGATTCCAGGTGGACATCGTCCTGATGTTGAGGAGAACTTGTTCCATGACATGGCTGTATAATTAACTCAATGCAAACTATGATGTTCATATTTTGTAATGTACTAATAAGTTAAGATGGTAGCAATGACGGATATATTGCTGGTACATATACTAAAGTTGCCTGAAAAAATACTATTGTTAGGAGACCTATATCACTTTGTTAAGGTGGAGTGAGTTGATACTCCACCATGTATTTAGCAGTTGGTTTGCATTAGCATATGTTGAGTGTGGGATTAACTTTTGTGCTGGAATGCGATTTGCCAAACTGAACTGAGTGGGTATTTTGAAAAAGTAATTCCACCATTGAGGCAGGTGTTACCAATACAAGTTCTCTGCGGGCCATTAAAAAGCATTAAATTGATTTTACGAAAATTATTGCTTTAATAGCATGAAAAAGCATTAAATTAGGTTCTTGGTGGCATTAAAAATTCTTTACTTAGCATTATTTTTACCGTAGGTAAAACTTTTCTGTTCCCTGAAAACAGTTCTGCCCCCCCTCTGTTACTGAACAGAGGCGAGAGCTGAGGCAGGGGCAGGACCTCATGCGTGGGGCCCAATACTGGCAACTCTTTTCTATGGAAAGTAGATTTAAATTCCCGCTTTACTCCACTTTGTCCACATTTGATTCTGTGTAGTTTTCATTGCATGTCATTAAAATTTGTACAGTGTAGCATTAACATGGCATTAACAAGCATTACATTTAACTGGTTGATTTCTGCAGAAACCCTGTAATAATATCAACAGTTATATTCAACGGTACTAGTAAGACACAAGACTGAGCCAACAGGCATCAATACTTGGATCCTAAAATTTAAACAATTTGCTTTTCCAGTTAGTTCAAGGTTATTAGTTTGGTGATACTAAAAAAAAGGGAGCTGTGTAATAGGCCGCAATTAACTTAAAAAAACAGTGACAGTTTCTTCCTTTTCTTCTCTTCCTCCTCCAAATAATTTCCTTTCAATTCAACACAGGTGCTGTTCTTTGGATTTGGCTGGTTATTCTTTATGCGGCAGCTGTTCAAAGACTATGAGGTACAGTGTTTTTGCAAGGCCATTCGCCAATATTTTGATGATTATGCCCCGGTTTAATTGTACTTCTAATAAGACAAACACGCAAACAAAATGCACATTCACTTCATCATCATTAATTAAGCTGTGAAAGTCTTGACTCTCCATCTGTTTTTGTTTGTTGACAGGTGCGACAGTATGTTGTCCAGGTGGTTTTTTCTGTCACCTTTGCTTTTTCGTGTACCATGTTCGAGCTCATTATCTTTGAGATACTGGGTGCCTTAAGCAGCAGGTTAGTGCATTTACTGTAGGATTTAGGTGTTTTTTTTTTTTTTTTAATTGTTGACAGCAAATTAAAGACATTAACCCTGAAGTCTTTGCCACAGTTCCAGGTATTTCCACTGGAAGCTGAATCTGTATGTGATTCTGCTGGTTCTAATCTTTGTGGTGCCTTTCTACATCGGTTACTTTGTCGTCAGCAACATACGCCTTTGTAAGTACACCCACTTTTGACTGCTGAAAATAAAATATTGTGACAAAAATAAAATGTCTGCTGCTGCTGAAATGTTATTCCGCACATGTAACATGAAGCTGTTTGCTGTGTGTCTGTGTAGTGCAGAGACAAAGGCTTCTTTTTGCCTGTATGGTCTGGTTTACCTTCATGTATTTCTTCTGGAAGCTGGGAGACCCATTCCCCATCTTGAGTCCAAAACATGGTGAGCGTGCATAGCCGTTTTCCTTTGGCACTGTGTATGTTTATGCCACATATTTGGATCATTGTGCAAATTACGGATGTCCAGTCCCTAATAATATGATAATTTCTAAGGATGTTAAAAAGCAGGAGATAAAGTAGTGTTGCTGTTTTCAGTCTATTACTGTGTTTCGTTTAGGAATTCTGTCCATTGAGCAGCTAATCAGTCGTGTCGGTGTGATTGGAGTCACTCTCATGGCTCTGCTGTCTGGGTTTGGTGCTGTCAACTGTCCCTACACGTACATGTCCTATTTCCTCAGGTAAGTGTAGTTTTCTCTGCTGCCATTCGATCATGCACAATCTGAGTCTCGGTTGTTTGAATGGCAGTATTCAAACAATGGATAGCATTGCCTTTATGCTCTTTGCCTTTATTGTTTTCACAGAAATGTAACAGACAGCGACATCCTTGCTCTGGAGAGACGGCTGCTCCAAACTATGGACATGATTGTCAGCAAAAAGAAAAGGTGAGAAAAGACAAACATTTTTCCCCCCTTACATATTTTTGTACCACTATGTATTTAACATTTGTACTATTTGTGAAGAATTGCCATGACACGGAGGCAGATGTACCAACGTGGGGAAGACCAGAACAAACAGACAGGATTCTGGGGCATGATCAAGAGCGTCACCTCTACACAGACAGGAAGTGAAAGTATCCTTAATGCTTACACTGAATATAACTGAAAATATTGTTGAGTTTTAGCTGCTACCCCCATATTATCCATCTATAGTATTTGTAGCAGATATCAGCCTTGACTTTGTCCCTCCAGACCTCTCTCTGATCCAGCAGGAGGTTGATGCTTTAGAGGAGCTGAGTCGGCAACTGTTTCTTGAGACCGTGGACTTACAATCCACCAAGGTAACACATATGTATACAAACACGTAGGTACAGAAACTCACGATGTTCCACCTAGCTATGAATGCTACACCAAGTGCCATCACAACGGCCTTTTCAACTGTCGAAACTTTGGCTGCTTGTAGCAAAATTCCTGCCAGTTTGGGTTGAAAAATATGAAAAGCGCCTCTAGTTTATTATACAGTATATTATATGAGTTCTAAGTATTGTTTTGTTACTCAATAACAACATTTTGATCATCCAATCAGAGCTGTGTTTTTCAACTCCAGTTTTCAGTTGCCTTTTGGCTCCTGTTTGGTCCTTACTTTTGCCTGAGAAAAATATTAGTGTCATAAGAGCTTGCCAGACATCTACCATGTAATACAAAGTTAGACATCTGTAACATAATTAATATTGATTCGATATAAAATGTTTGTCTAATTTCCCGTGCTGTAATTTGAAGCAGGCTTATTACCACTCTAAATCACCACGTTAATAATATTGTGTTAGGTCTGCTCTGGGTTAACTTAATGATTTATGCAGTTTCGACAGCGTCTAGCCACAAAATGACATTGATATCGGTAGTGTCCTTATAAACTCCTGCTTTATTTTAATGGCTTCCATTAAAACCAGGAGCACTCTGACCTCATGACTGGGGTCTGCCTTTAAAAACACATTTATCTATACACACTACGCCCATTTTGCCTATGTCTGGTAAATGATTCTTCAACACCACCTTTTCTTATCTTTAGGAGCGAATCGAGTACTCAAAGACATTCCAGGGAAAATACTTCAACTTCCTTGGCTACTTCTTTTCCATCTACTGTGTTTGGAAAATCTTCATGGTGAGAACTTTCACATATTGTGCTCTGGCTTTGTGTCTTTGTTACACATTGTTTTAATTGTTTGAGATGTAGTAACTCTATTCTTTCAATCACAGGCAACTATAAACATAGTGTTTGATCGAGTTGGAAAGACGGATCCAGTGACCAGGGGGATTGAAATTACAGTGAACTACTTGGGCATCCAGTTTGATGTGAGATACACACATATGCACAAACACACTGTCTTCGTCTCTTCACAGGACATTACATTGACTAACATTAATTTCCTGTAAACTGACTCTAACCCCAACCATAACCACTACATGCCTAACCCTGACCCTGAGTTTTTATGCTAACACTTAATGATTTACTTCACAGACGTTTATGTTTCATCCCTAAAAGCGAGGCCTTTCGCTGTAATGTTTCTGTGTAAACATGTCCTCATAACAACACGAGTTTTACATGTACACGTAAACACGCAGTAACAAAGTCATGTGTCAAACAGAACGACCTCTTAAAGGTCAAGAATAAAGATAATTGCTTGCTCATTATCACCTCTCTCCCTGCTGTCTCTGCAGTAAACCTGCTCATACTCCCTTTTAATCTTTTCCCACGTAGATAATGAGTTGATTGAGTTGTTGCAGCTCGCGCTCAAAGAGCACGGCATTGCGTTTATATTTGAATGAATAAATAATGACTTTGCAGTTATTATACTTCTGTTCTTTTTCCTCATTATTTCAGGTAAAGTTTTGGTCCCAACACATCTCTTTCATCCTGGTGGGGATAATCATCGTTACGTCCATACGCGGTTTACTCATTACCCTCACCAAGGTAAACCTGTCACATGCTGTGTGTTGCATAAGCAGCTCATCTTGAAGCTGATAAATGTGTGTGATTTCTTGCTTGTAACTGATCTTCCACCCCTCCCAAATTGTGCAATTTTTTAAAATCTCAGTGTCATCTGCTGCTTCCTTTATAGTTCTTCTATGCAATATCAAGCAGCAAGTCTTCCAACGTCATCGTGCTTGTCCTCGCTCAGATCATGGTGAGTGTGTTCGACTCACGGTTGTGTTTCACCGTACGGCACAAGCTATGAACTATACGTATAAATCTGAAATTTCTGTGTCTCAATCCGATAGGGGATGTATTTTGTGTCGTCTGTGCTGCTAATGCGAATGAGCATGCCGCTGGAGTATCGCTCCATTGTGACGGAGGTTCTGGGAGAGCTGCAGTTCAACTTCTATCACCGCTGGTTCGATGTTATCTTCCTGGTCAGCGCCCTGTCCAGCATCCTCTTCCTTTATCTCGCCCACAAGCAGGCACCAGAAAAACACATGGCCCTCTGATCCCCCTGCAGTGCATCTCCTCTCTCGGATATGACTCCTGACGGACGGGCTGACTTTTAATCTGGGATTTAGATATATCCGGAAATCACATTTTTTTTATATATATATATATATCGGATATAATTATTTGGACTGCCTGTTCCTGAATCAGGAATAGCTGATTTTTGGGTGCAAGTGATGGGGAACTGTTGGAGCACACAAGGAAACAACTTTGCAATTACAGTATTTCCAGAATTTAGAATTTATTTTTATCCTGCGAATGCAAATACTACGTTTGCTGTGCTCTTCAAGTTTCATTCTTCTTGCCAAAATGTCTTGTCTGTCTGAACACACTGGAGCTAAACATGAAGAAACGATTAAGATACCACTCACGAGCTGTATTTTTACGTGACTGTAATTCTCAGCAAAATGTTCAGTTATTTCATCAGGAACAACAACAGAAGATAACCATAAAGTTAATTCAGATGCTACACGTGCATTTATTTGTGTTCATGAAAGCTGTCATTCGTTTACTTTCATCACAGAAATGGGAACAGCAAATTTACATAGTTTTTTTTTTTTAGAACATTAAATAAAAGCAGCGGTTTGTGCATAGAGAAAACATTTTTGCAAAGCCACAGTGTTTTTACTGGCAGTAGCAAGTGTTTATAATTTTGGTGACATCAGTAATCTCCGGTATGTTAAAGATAATACTCATCACTGTACTGGCTCACAAGTAGATCAAAGGATGTATGATCACAAGTTCCTGAACACTCTTGATATTTGAGAACATGTTTTTGTTCTTAACCTTTTCATACAATTGAAGAAGCTCTTCTGCTATGAATCAGATTTTGGCAGTAGATTTCAAAAGTCTTTACAGTCCTCGTTGTTTTCTTCATCTCTTTTTCTCTTGTGATATTAGCTAGATGTATGAAGCCCATAGAGCTGATTGTTATAGGAAAAAACAACAACATCAACATCTGATTAGGTGAAATCAGGGATTCTTCAGGAGGCTCCTCAAAATCTCTCATCCAAGCTCAGTTCAGATGCATTTGAAGTCACAGAAGTGGCCTAAAACAGAGAAAAAATAAATATTTAGGTAGGTTCCTGCAAGCTTTTAGCTGAATGATAAACTAGGAAAGGCAGGATAAGTGTCACAGTGTTTGACTTCTTAAGAAGGATGCAGAAAATACATGGCAACATATAGACAAGGCCAAAAGTCTGCAAGTACACAGCAGTGCTTTGTGCTAAAGGTTGATGTTTAGGTAATGCGATGTCCACAGTCTTACTGGTGTTAACGTTGGCCACTAAGTACAACTGGTGGGGAATGTTATCTGTTTGCAAGTACTGGACAAATTCAAATTTTGATCCCTTGGTGTCACCAGATCACACATTAAGGGAGCATTAAATATTATGGTTCTTCCAAAGGGGACCATGAATGTTTGAACCAAATATCAATGACAATTCATCAAATATCTCTCAGGGCCTTTACTCAAAATCATGTGGGTCAGGCGATTAGGAGTCAGTCTCTGGGAACCATGAATGTCTATATCAAATATGCAATTTATACAAAAGCAATTACAGGAACTGACTTACCAACTGTTCCTTCTCTAGAACCATGCTGCTATAAATGTTAAAATTTAAAAAACACCACTCACTCTCAGTCTTTCTGGGGTCACAGATCTTGTCCTCTCCTCCTCTTCCTCTCGTATGGCCCTGTGGCTGGTCTTTGGAGAGTCTGCAGTGTGGACTTGAACGTAGGATGTTTCCTCGAGGAGCAGGGTCGTGATGGTCACTCCTTTAGCTCTGAGCTTGTCGTAGACGCTCTTCCTAGCCACCAGCATCTCCAGAGAGTTGCCACTTTTTTTGATCATTTCCACCGCGTCGGCGTAGCTCCTCTGCTCCACATTTACCCCGTTTATCTCCACCACAATATCGTTGTTCTCCAGACCTGCCCTGTCCGCTGCTCCTCCCGTCACCACCTGGAAACCAGCTGTGTTTTACCTCTCGTGTTTGACATGGTTACGATCAAATGGCTGGCATTCTTCAAAGTCTTACCTCGGTGATGTACTGACCAGACACCCCCTGGATGCCGTTCAGGTGGAAGCCAAAGGTACCTGAGGTCTTCTCCAGTTTACACAGTTTAGGCTTGAGCTCCTCTTCATTCTCATGATTGTGTTTAGGTTGTTGGACACCACCAGTGGGTAAAGTGATGGCCTCTGTGTAGCTGGGTGGTGAGTGGGAGTCCTTCATGTCCTCCCAGAAAAGCATAGGAGACACTTTGCCCTGCGAGAGACACAACATGATATTATCCAAGTCCTCTATAGGACGTACTGAGGACAGACAGTGGAACTTTGACTCACCATCTTGTACATTTTGTCCGTGTCTCTGTCCACCACCAGGAGGCAGCATTTGTTGCCACTCTTCTTGAACATTTCCACCACCATCTCGTGGCTGCAGCTGTCCACCTCCTTGCCGTCCACAGCTACCAGTCTGTCCATTTCCTTCAGGCCTGCTCTCTCTGCTGGGCTGCCCCTGTCTATGTCCTTAATGAAGTGTCCTGCATGGAGTCAAAAACACACCGTGACAACTCTGGAGTAGTGGGAACATACTATGAATGTATTGATAATGGCCTTGCCTGTGACTTTGGGCTCCTCTCTAAGCAGGAAACCGTATCCATCTGAGCCTTCGGTTATGTTGATGATGCGCGGCTGCTTAGGAAGGTACTTGGTTGTGGCTAACCACGTTCCTATCTTTGCACGCTTCTTCTGAAAGAACTTGTCTGTTTCCTCATCGACCAGTAAGAGCATGACGCTGCTGCCTGCCTGTTTCATCTTTGCCACTACTTGTTCGTGTGTGCAGTGTTCGATGTTCTCCCCGTTGATCTCCAGCAGACGGTCTTGGACTCTGACCCCCGCTTTGTATGCCACATTTCCTGGGGTCACTGCTGTCATGAACATTCCATTCTCACCTAGAAAGGATGTTGTAGAAGAAATGAAATAATGTGAGTTTTCAACATAGCATCACAGAGACAGCTCTCTTCAGAAAAAAAGAGGCATGCTTTGTGCAGCATGCATTAAACTGTGATGCACAAGTTTCTAAAGGTTATTAAGTAAATTGTAGATCAGTTCTACGCTATTGATGGAAATTAGGTTTTGGTTGTTAAGGTATTAAACGATATTAAAAATAATAATAATATTAAAAGATAAGACAAGAAAGAACTTTAATAGTCCCAAGAGAAATGCTTTAAGAAGAAAACAAAAAAAATCAACTGGATTCGCATCTAATTTGACATTTTCTTTGACCTCTGACCTTTCAGAAAATCAGTGCAGAAACAGGGCACCAGAATATGTTTATTAACAAGTTATTAACATTTACATCTGCAGACTTGTCTGCTGTCTACAGATACAAAATCTTAACAAGTCAATCCATCAAATCTATAGTCAGTAAGTTACTGCCTTATCGGAAAATTTCAAGCCTGATACACCTCCAACCACACCTGACGATACTCATGTGTCCGGTTAGGTGTAGTCAGAACTGTTGCATCTTTAATCACGCCTAAAAGTGGTCTGATTGTGTATCGGCATATCACTGATAGGGAATGAACCGTTGGAGGTCAGTGGATGTTGGTTTATTGTTTAACGACAGGTTCTGCTCAAGATGTTCTGCAGCTCTTTTTCACAGGCGGAGAGGTCAAAAATGTCTTTTAGGATAAAATTAAGAACTGAGAAGAATGGGAGTGAGGGATTGTGCTGGGGACGTTGCTGTATGTAACACTAGTAAATGCCTATTAGCAAGCGGTGCTGGAACAATTTACTGACTCAAGTCTAATGAATCCAACTTGACAGTTTTCCAGGATCTATAATTGAGGTTTCTTGTTCGTTGTGTGTCTTTAAACTTTAGCTTTCGTCCCAGATTGCTATTCCCTGGCCCTGTGTCCTCAGCTCACCTTTGACTGAGCGCAGAGAAAACTCAAAGCCTGAGCTGGACTTCACCATAAAGCAGAGTTTGGGTTTGGGATCCTGTTTGGCCACTCCGTTGGCAATCGCTGGGCTCTGAAGGTCAGAAAAGTCCACTCCCTGCGCTTTAGCGTTCTTGTAAGAAGACTCATCCAGAAGGTGGAACGTGACAGATGCTCCGCTTTCTCTCACCATTTCCACCACCTGCCGCAGGGGAAACAAAGAAGGGTCTGAAAAAAGATGCTTGTCACGGGATTACTCCTTCGGTCTCGGAACTGGTATTGATTTGATTAATGCACTGCAGCAATTCTGCTTCCTACTCACCGCCGAATGGGGCAGCGCGTCAACAAATGTTCCATTGACACGGAGGATGCGATCGCCATCCTTCATGCCAGCCAATTCTGCTGGACCTCCCATTTCCAGGCAGCGGATCAGGTGACCCTCCTGGCCATGCTCCACCCTCAGATAGAAGCCAAAAGTCTGACCAGGCCTCTTGCTTAGAGAAATCACCCTTGGTTTGTATCCGGCCATGTCTGAAATATGGAGGAGAAGGTCAACAACACACACACACACACATACCAATCATAAATTAAATCTTCTAATGTGATAAATAAAGACATTAACATATTCAAAGTTCTTTTAAGAGAGTCATAAAAAATACATGGAACATACTCAGGTGCTTTTACTTTTTGAATATGGTGCAGCAATATAAAAGAAGCAGTTATTGAATTTATCTCTAACCTTTAAAATCTGGCCTCTCCTTTTCTTATCACCACTGTCACTCTTTAAACATAATTATGATAGTTAGATAAGGCCAGACCCAAAAAAAAGCAGCCATAGAGTTGCTGATAGCATCAGATGGAAAGTTAATCTTCTGTGTCAGCTCTGCAGTGGCATTTACTGGTTAACAGCATGCACAGCTGACTGGGGTGGCCTGCTCTCCATAAAATACAGCTTGGACTTTGAATGCGAAGTGAGAAATGTTATTGTAATCATTTCCCAGCAGTGTGCAGGAATTCCAACGCTGACGGGAAAGACATGTCTTCACACTGCTTTCGAACAATACATTGATTAAACAGACAGGTCGGACATAAATAGTCTTTTGGATTCACTGGCAGTTAGCTTTTATTTTTTTTATTGATAATGTTCTCCATAAACCATCACGTGATGTGTCCATTACAACACGATTATGCTGCTTTTTTTCTTTTTTTTAGTCAAAGCTTTAGCAAGCCTGAACCTTAATTATAGTAAAAAACTCTAAGAATAGTCGTAAAGTATAGTAAAGTCTGTATCAGCTTGTCCCAGAGCTTAACTACATGTAATTAATGGTGACATAAATCACAAACCAAGGACAGTTTTTAGAACAAAAAAGGTAACTGTCCGGTAAACATCTTCATATTTTTATATATATATATATATATATATATTTAATGTATACACCTATAGGCTCTACAAATGTCTTATTTGTCTTGATTTCTTGTTTTTATCTTGCACAGTTCGTTAATTTATAGTTGTTCTTTGCACTGATTGGGATTGCACCTAATTTCATTGTACATTTTTTGGTATAATGATATGAAAGGATTCTGATTCATATCTTTAAATACTTTGGAATCATCAGTAGCATCTGAAATAACAGCAAATGAGATGCAAATAGGTAAAGATTCCCTCACAGTGTGGAACTTAAGAGATTACACTGTTAATAGATGAAATCACAAAACCCCTGAGATAAGCTCATCTGTTTATGTAGTAGGTGAATTTATACATGAAATTTAAGTCACTTTAAACAAAGTTATGTCTCTTTGTCACTGTTTTTGATCTGTACAACCAAAAAAATCCAATAATTTGCAACAAACATTCACAGCATTTGGGGAAAATCTGAAAAACAAAGCAATACAATCTGGTTTCAATCCCATTCATCTCATCTCAGCTCCTTCAGATTTATCTTACAGCCTTTTGTGGGGGTCCTGAACCCGACGTTAGGAGCGAATGCTGTATGTGATGTTGGCAATCTGATACTGGCCTTTAAATATTGTTTTTGTTCTGGTAAATTATCACAAATACAAGAAAAAAAACCTACATACAGTATGTAAGTGTTTTGAAGGTGAACTCACCTGCTCCTCTCTGCTCAGTGTCCCAGTCCAAAGAGGGAGTTCACCTGTCACTGCTTGGCCGATATCTTCAACCTGCCTCCCTGCTTCTTCCTTCGGCCCACCCCTTCTCCTTCTCCCTGCAGGGACTTTGACAGGCCAAAGGTGAGCCTAAAGGCTGAGTTATTTAACAGTGTCTCGTGTCACCGCTGTCTGCGGAGGCGATGGCCCTGTGCAATCTGTCCTCACAAGGTAAGCAGTCATCTGTTTGGTGGTCAAAGGTACGTGATGCAGGTACGTGATGCAAAGAGTCACGACGGTCCACACATCACAGCCGACAATTACATAAATATGCATTTGCGTTACATAATGACAAGCAGAAGACTGCGTCTATAATAGAGAACATCACATTTTTGTTATTAAATTTAATGTAAAACGGGTTTTCATTTGGCGTTTTTAACAGTTAAACTCTATAAAAATACAGTTTTGTTGTAGATTCGTAGGTGCTGAAGACTAACATTTTTGCATTACATAATTTAACTGTCAAGTCACATTATGTTTACAGTGTATGGCACGTAAAACAGCAGGAGCTCCAAAGTGCTTTACATCTGGGACACATAATAAACAATGCAAATTTACAAAACCAAAAAAATACATATTGAAATCAGTTAATTTCATTTTAATCGCAAGATAATTCTTCTCATTAACATGTCAAGATGACAAGTCAAGATTTCACAATGTTATAGAGAGAAACCCAGCTGCTCCTTTCAGCGAGCACTTGGTGCAAATCCATCTATCTTATCAGGCAATTGTGTTATTACACAACATAGCTTTTAACTTTCCTTTGAGTAATGTATTGTATTTTACAGTAAGGAAAGTTTGTCCTGTGCACACTTATTTATATAAGCTGGACAACCTGATTTGTCTGGATTTATAACACATCTAAGTTTTACCAGTTCTTGGAATGCCAATGAACATGTTTTCTTAACATGAAGTAGATGATATGAACCAGCCAAGACATAACAGCACATCTTTTTAGAAGAAAATTGCAAATATAGTATTTATTGAAAGATCATCCTAAAAATCACTTTATACAGTACCTCATTTGTGTTCTGTGTCTTGTATTTTGAAACCTGTGCACTCTGATCCAGTCTATTTCAAAAGTCCTGTAATAAACATTACCTGCCAGGAAATTATATTGTTCAAATGTTACTTAAATGGCTTCAGTGAGGTTATGAAGATAAATGACGTTTCATTTAAATAGTGATTTCAGAGATTGTAGTAAGTTGTGCTGTTGAATTTTCCCCATTTTTCGGTATTTGCAACAATTTCTAAACAATTTAAATGTACCTCAACATCCACAGCAAAACAAATCAGTAAAAACAAAATGCAAACTCGACTCTGCGTGATGTTATTTCTCCTAAACGTGGAGCTTAATTGTCTCTTTGGAACATAATGTACAAACTAACCAACAGGTCATCCAAAACAGGGAGAACAGCTCACTCACTTGTGTCAGTGTTACATCTGGTCAAAGCCTGCTGATATAAAATAAACAGAGCTCAGTGAATGAACTCTTTTTTTTCCCCCCTAAGAAGCAGCCTCCACAGTTTGCACATTAATGTCCCCACAGGTTAAAGTTTTACCTCGCTGCCTTCTTAGAGCTCCCACAAACTACAGTTTTCATGTCAATGCAGTGCAACGTAATGAAATAAAAGTCTGCTTGGATAACTTTCTACTAAAGAAGATATAAAAGAAATGTTTCTTTTTTTTTGTTAGCACAGTTGGATCTAAACGGTTCAGAGAGTTCATGTTAATCTCGGGTGTAGATTAATCCTCCAGGTTTATGGTTACTGTAGTCTGTTAGTATGGGAGGGTCCAGCGGTTATAAAAGCCTTATAATGTCCCCAGGATGGGACAAAGGTGACAAAACCCAACGCAAAGCAAAAATAAGTCTTCAAACTATGAAAGTTAACTCATTACTGTGCTGATGTCTAGAAGGAGATTTTTTGCTGCTGAATGGCTCAGTTTAATGATTACACTTTGATTCAGTTCTGATATTATCTTTACTTTCTCTCTCTCTCTGGAGAGACTATTAAGTATTTACTTTCACTCAGTCATAAGCATTTCTAATGTTTTTATTTTGTTTTATTTTTTATTTTTTTATTTTGCGAAGTTATTTTACCATTGAATAGACATTTACAAATAAGATGTGACTGAGATAAGAAGACTCACCTACAAGAAGCCAAACCTTGAACTCTCCCAGCTACCAAATAATGTTCTCTTATCAAGATGTTTCATGTAATGTTCATATTGTAAAGATGCAGTGGTTTTTGTTGCTTGGCAAGATTGACAGTTAACGCATTATCTCATTTAAGTATAAATAAAAAAGAAGGAAAAGTAAAAATACCACTTTTTTTCTGTCAGGATCAGCTTTAGTTGAACCCACACAAGGAATTTCACTCAGTTTTTGTTTCTTTTTTTCTCTTAATGACTTTATACACCTTAAAGTCTTCACTACATATCTTAACTAAGTGTGGAAAGACTTGGATGTAAAGTGCCACTTTGATAATTGTAGTTTCGAAACACTAACAAATTACGATAAAAATACAATCAAGTTCTGACAATCATGTACTAATTTTTCCAAAATACAAATTAAAACTGCAGAATTTGATACTTTTTTGAGCTTCAAAACAACAACAGCCGACTGCTGTAAATATGAACTGAACAAAAGATTTGACACAAAATGACAAAAATTTGAGCCTATCCCAGCAGACTTAGGTGGAGCGGTGGTTAGCACTGTTGCCTCGCAGCAAGAAGGTCGCTGGTTCGCATCCCAGGGAGGACACCCGGGATCTTTCTGTGTGGAGTTTGCATGTTCTCCCCGTGCAGCGTGGGTTCTCTCTGGGTTCTCCGGCTTCCTCCCACACAGTCCAAAAACATGTTGAGGTTAATTGATGATTCTAAATTGTCTGTAGGTGTGAATGTGAGTGTGCTTGGTTGTCTGTCTCTAAGTGTAGTCCTGTGATAGACTGGTGACCTGTCCAGGGTGTCCCCTGCTTTCACCCTAAGTCAGCTGGGATAGGCTCCAGCACCCCCAGAGCCTACTGAGGATTAAGCTGTGTATAGATAATGGATAATGGATAGACTTCAACTTTGAGAACACATTTCCCCTATGCTGGAGATGTTTAAGTCCCACATTACAACTATGTAATGTAAGGAAATATTAACACCCGAGATCATCTTTCAACACCCATAAAACATACATAATTAACAATAGAACCCAACCCAACCCAATTTCATGAAGATAACACAAACAGCCTCTGAGATAATGACCCTCAAAAAATGGTAAGTATCACCATTTTACTCAACTTTATGTGCCAGTTGCCTCATAACAGAGTACCTTCAAACTGTCCTTGAAGGAACCTGTATGTTAAATACACGGTTACATTTGCATTTTACAACTTTACTAAATCATCTGCGAGACCTGACAACCATCTGCTACTTGCAAATCCTTTTAGTCGATGCTTTGAACTTGCATTAGTTGCCCCCGCTATTTTTCTTTCCCCTCTTTTTTGGCACACTGCTACCTTTTACAGCACATTACCACCGCCGACACTAATGTATATCGACAGATATGCATAACTGTTGGTGGAAAGATGTATGGACATCCATTACCGCCCTTCAACAGTTTGCAGAAAAGCGTATCGCATCGGCCCAGGCTTTTGCTGTATGTATAGAATTGGTGACACAAACAATGCAAAATCCATCTCATTAAATATTAGTGTGCAGCACTTACCTTTAAGCAAACTGTGTGTATTTATTACCTCTGACCTCTTGTGCGATGAACAGAACAACTGATTTTGAGTTTTATAAGAAGATTTTAATGTCAAATCACAATCTGTAAAGTAGCTAGAGCTGATAGATGCGCACAAAAAGCACAAAATCTGCCTCTGACTGTTTACTTTGACAGTAAATGTACCACACAGGCCCAAACACTCAGATACCAGATAGAGGTGTATGTACCCCCAGACCAGGCACTTATCACCGCTGATGGGTTGGTGCTTTCCCATTAAAACACACACACACACACACACACACACACACACACACATCTCCAACCCTGCATCCACACATATGGCTCAGAGCTGTGTTTGAACAATCGATCCCAGGGGTCCCGGAACCACAACCAGAGGAGAGCCGAGTGGAAGGAGACAGAAATCCTCTTCAGCTCAGCTTAGCACGGATGCATTCCCTATCCATTACCTTCAGCCATCACCATGTGTTTGCCAGAAACAAAAAAAAAAGAAGAAGACGTTAATGTCTTTCCGTGATGCTGGCTGCCTGTATTGATGAATCCTTCACAGCTACAGTTGTTTATTTGATCAGGGACGTAATCTCAGTGGTGTTTACAGAAACGGCAGCAAAGTATGCATACGTTGCCTCAGCAGAGGATGCAGACGTGAGCCGTAAAGTGCCACCCCTGAAGCTATTACCTCCAACCCGTCTTCATCAGCAGTGAAGCATCAGCAATCAACACGTCATGCCAGTCTGCGATTACTACACTCGACGGGGAGCCCTAGTCTTTCTCTTCACCCTGATTGGCATCCTCACAGGTCTTGTTTATCTGGGGTAAGTGGCTCTGCACATGACCTGCCGAGCCAGCTAATTAGACCGGGAGAAAAATTAGAGATGGGCTGCTTGAAGTAATGGTCCCCCCGCCTCTTTTTTTTTTTTGGGTTTGTTTTGTTTTCCTCCTCTGGCAGTCATTTGAGCGTTCAGAGACCAGCCAGATGCTCTCTGCAGCAATAACACGTCTCAGAGAGCAGTGACATCCTAACCTCCCAAATGTACAGGTGACACAGAAGAGACAGTCCCTCTATTTCCTTTGAGGAAAAACAAGCATGTTACCCGTCCAGGCCCGTGGCACCACAAAAGGCCTGTTAGTGTGTCCCCGGCTGGGTACAGCGTAATGATGGAGCGGGACAGTCTGGTCTATGTAAAGCCTTGATGAAATTACTGATGATGACAGGAAGAAATTTTTCATAATCAGAATAATTTCGACTCTCCAAGCCTTGATAGCACAGCCGCAAATACAGTGTCCTTCAGCATAATGAAGCATTTTAATCATTTCAAGATGGAATTTAATCAGAAAAAAAATCAGGTTCTGCATTTATTTCTCTATATTACCTCATAGAGTATATCTATTTCCTCGGGTCTTTAGGTTGTACAAGACACCAGAGAGATTACAGTAATTTTGCATTCATTTCTAACAGTATAGGATGAAGGACAGGCTTTACTGAGTCTTTAGTTGTGCTACCAGTGCTGACTGGACTTGGTGGGTGTAGACCAGAGGCTGTTTAGAATACTTCTCCTCTAGAGTCCTCTAAAGGTCAGAGCAGGTCAGTGTCTTCCAAAATCCTAAAATTAGGACAGCATATTAGTTCGTCCCTTCCAAAAAGCAAATGACTGTTACAAGAATTTTTGTTACATCCACTTAAGGTTTCAGCTTATTCACAGTTTTTTCGTGTTTTGTTAAAATAAGCCAATTTTGACTGCTGGTTGGAAATAGATGCTAACACAGAGAAGCCCAAACCATCCATAAAATGATTCAGAGTGAGCAGTTAGGTGGCTAATCAAATGATAAAATCACAACCACAGCCACTGGGGCAAGCGGCATGGCAAGAAAATTTAAAATAAGGTTGTGGAAGAACCATTGCAAAACATTTTAATATCACAAGATCTAATTAGTGTCTTCAAGAGGAAGAGGGGTTGGATAATAATGATGATTTTGATTAAGACAAGGAGGATGACTGACGTAGAAGATTCACACTGTACGTACAGCCCAGACCCTGATTCACCCACACAGCTCTGAGGAGTCCTCTGAGGATGTGGACTCACAGACCACACGAGGGCGGCGGTGCGCCTGTAAAACCGCTACAGTGGCTTTTAGTCACACTTAAGGGGCATCAGATCTTCAGTGCTTAAATAAGCTGGAAACGTTCCTGCCTCTAATTAAATTGGCAAGCCGCACTGTCAGACTCCAAACCGATGTTGCAGACAAGTAGAACTGATGACTGCAAAAATAACCACAGAGCCTGGACACAGTGCATCCTATTTTTCTGACTGTTCTCTCTCTCTCTCTCTCTCTTTTAAAATTACCCCGCAGTTTTTGCAATAAATTCCGTAGAATGAAAGAGATATATAAGCGTGATAGACTTGTCACTTTTGTAGATATGACAGGATTACTTGGACTTATGTGATAAAATGTGCCAGATAGTGGTGCCTGTTTCTCAGAAAACCAGTCAGTTGGCACAGTGCTGCTCATTATGATGATGAAAATTTACTAATCTTTTTTTTTTTTTCATTTTGTGGTTTATCTAGCTTTTCTTTCTTTCTCTATAATCGAGGAAAACAATTAAGCTGCCTCATGAGAATTTGTAATTGAAGAGGCAAATCTGTGCGTAAAGATACGTGTGGTATGAGTTATATGTTTATATTTTATTCATGGTTTACGCATGAATATGTCTGGTGGCGACCACAACAGTCCACTCCTCTCCATCTCTCTCTCCCACACGTAAACCACACACCCTATATGACTTTAGTCCTCCACTCTCTGCGCTCACTCGCGCTCTCCATTCGGTTTATTTAGGAAAAGCGCAGCAGCGCGCAGCGCGCCTTCTCTCTCCGCGCGCGCAACAAACCTTGATTAACGCCTGATGCCAAGTGGAACACTTACAGTAACCTAAAAGAAAACAAACAAAAGAAAAGCAAACTACGTTTTTTTTTCTCTCACTCTCTCGTTTTGCAAATTGGGAAGCGACAACCTCATTCAGCAAGTGTGATGGACTGTGGATGCAGAGTCCAGTTATTTTACTACTTCAGAGGCTTAGGCGACAACTGACAGAAGGTTGATTCGAACTTTTTGCAACATTAGACCGCAGTAGCTCACATTGCAATCATTAAATAATTACAAAAAGAGAAAAGAAGAAAGAAAAAAGAAAAATCATGGATCTCTACGCGCCAAATGAGACATCTCTGAACCCAGAGTGCGTCGGAGCGCAGGCTGATGCGCTTCACAACGGAGCCGGTAACGGGAGCTTGGAGACGTCAAGCATCGCCTGCGGCAACGCGTCCACAGTCTTCATTCCTCAGCGTGTAAGGCAAAGAGGTGAGCGGACACACAGACACCTCATCATCACTTTGTCACCACATTTTGGTTTTAGTTCTGTTTGTAGAGAAGCATTGTGGTGTTTGGAAGGTGCGTCATAAAAGAACTTTGAAATGTTCACATTCAGTTTAATGTTGCCTCATCCAGTTTATTTTGGACTGAAAGTGCTTATGATGTATAAATTCGAAGTTCAGTGGAAAAAAAGAAGTGATTATTTATCGTTTTCTGGCCCCTGAAGTAGCTAAAGATGAGAGGATGTTGTGTGTAACTTGTTGCTTGCAACATAAAAACTCATGGTGCAGTTAACATTTGTGAATAAATATGAATAACTTAGCATAATGTTGAAAATTGACAAATAAAACAGCTGGATTTGGTTCCTTTTCAGTCTCTGTGAGGGCAGAAAAGACTTTACAACCTAATGTCACTGGAACTATGCTACCATATGTTGAGCCATAAAAAAAAAGCTTTAATGTAAAATCAACTGAGTTACAGTGAAATAGGGATCAGAGAGCACACACACACACACACACACACACACACACAGAGTCACACTAATCCTGGCCACACAGGGGATTTATTCATAAAAAAAAGTCATATCTAGACTGTGCCTCATGGTCATGCTGCTCCATCCTGCTGTTTCCATATTTTCAAAGCACTCTATCCAAATTTGATGTCTAATAATAGAGTGCGTTCTTCCAACCTACAGACTATAAAACCCCTTGAGGTTAATTTATGATTTGGGGTGATTATTATTAATAAGAATGTCTTCACTTGACTTGAGCTTGTAAATAAGGAATGGCACCAAAGTGCGTCATCGCTCGTTTCCTCTCAGTCCCACCTGCTGCATTATCAATCAGCACTTGCTATTTCTACCCGACTTCACCACTTAAGAGCTGTTTGCCAGTGTTTCCATGTGTTGATGAGGTGCGTGTGCTCCATGTGAGTGAAAGACACTGCAGAGATTGAACACCTTTAATATGAGGGGGATTTTTTTCAACACACTGCGCACACGCTGTAATAAATCCAAAGCTCGCTCCCCCTCAGTCACTCCCATCATTACCTGACTTATTCTACACCTGCCACTAATAAGTCATTTGGACCAACCAGGCATAAGCGTGGTGATTACACTGAGCTAAATCAGCACACTGCAAATTACAAACCCACTGAGAACACATCTGACAAGACCAAGGTGCCTCCAGTCTGGTGAGACTTGCAGCTTAATCCATTTTTATGCAGCACACTAACTTACTTTGTGTCACTCCTTCCCAATCAGGCTTTCATTTCCTTTCCATGTTCCCACTGAATCCTCTAACCTGACTCCGCACCCATCTAAGATCATAATCTAAAGAGAGCAAACAACGACATCTGACCCGATACAGCCGCCGTCGCTGTCATTACTCGCTCCGTCACTCACAGAATTGATTACTTCTCCATCGCGCTCACTCATATCCTCTCTCTCTGTCCATCACACTGTCTCTGTGATTACAGCGTAGATTGAGTTGTGTCACAAACGCATTCCCACTGGGCGACACTCATTTTTCTGCAGACCAGAAACTTCAAAGCGTGTGCCACGGCCTTACCGTGGTATAGTCTGCAGGGATTTCTCAAATTATTTCTTCCTCTCCGGATGACATTTCTTTCTAATCAGGAGAAAAACTCTGACTCATGTTTGCCAAGAAGCCTTTTGCATACAAGAATTCTGCCCTGGCGTAATAAGAGTAGCAAGCTAAAGAGAATGAAAGCAACACAGAAGCCAAGTGAGGGTATAGACACAAAACAGAGACTTGCCAAAGTGAAAACTGCAACACAGAGTGTAAAAAAACAAAAAAGAGACAGAACGTAATATGCTTTGCGTCATTTTAGGTGAATTTTAATGGAAGTGCAGCTCAAAGTCCCTGTGGTACCCTCACTGCTTCAAAAATACACCCAGTGTGTTATTGATACCTCTAAAATATGTCAGTCTTTAAATGCGTCATTGCCTTGTGAGAATTTCACCATGGATACTGACACAGCCAATAAAGGGGAGCGAATGCATCTGAAAACACAGGAAGAGACCTTCCCCAGCTCTGGGAGGAAATAAATCGCTCAACCACACCTTTGGAAATGTTTTCACACTACATGCAGCCCAGACGTCTCCGATTTGGAACACAACACCTGCAGAGTCTCAGGAGCTTCATGGTACATAGTTTAATGCCCCTGTTGTCGACTGTAGTCGCTCGTCACGCTTTGGTTACCATACAAAGAAACAGTTGACTCACTACACGTTAGAAGAGCGACTAAAACGGTTTATGTCTTATCTAGAATACTAGTTGATTGTGGTGTCATTTATCATACAACAGCTTGTGGTCATTACTTTGGAGAGGACGACGATGACAGGCAACATAACAGAGCTTATCAGTCACTGCCAGGAGCGCAGCAGCTTTTTCAATCTGTTTTCAAAAATCTGTTTATTTGTGACAAAATGCATCTAATAGACAAATAGAAAGCATGGAAACACCCCTCTTCTTTTCATTTCCCATTACCTTGTCATCACTCCCCTCGGCGCTCTTCGCAATTGTGCGTTTTTCACCGTCTCCAGCTCTCGCGCGCCCTCGTCTTCCCCTGCCTGCTGAGATTTGAGGTGTTTAATACATGCCTGCACCGCGGGCTGAGCAACAAACATGTTTTGCGGTCCGGTGCGGATTGCTTGTTGCAGTCTGTCAGCCAACAGAGAGCGGTTCCGTTCGTTGCCTCCATCAACTGTTCTGGGGTGCTGTTGGCTTAGTGACAGGGCTTAGATGACATTTACCATGCTGGATTAGCCAGTAGCTGTGACATTTACCAATACCTAGGTCTTACAGGAGCCTAGCCGGCTTTGCTCTGGTAGGTGGAGAGACATGAGGCACCAGCCGGGGTGGGAAGTGACACACAATGCATATGTATTAGAGGGCGGTGGGGGGTGTCGGGTTAATTCATAATCATTAGAAAGTTTTGTGTAGCCACTGAATGAGACAAACAGATGAAAGCTTAAATATTCATGGATGAATACGTACCTCATCATTAATTCAATCACAATTTGACTTCATATCTAATAATAGGCCAGTACAGCTAACTTTTCACTTGCTGTGTTAATGCAGAATCTGTTTGCAAATTTTCCACCAACAGTAATGTTGCTTGTAAATTTCCCCCAATGAAGAATTCCATTCTATTCTATTGTAACATAATAGTAGTGATGTTTCAGGTATGATGCTATGCAGGAGGTGGAAAAGCTTTAATGCAGTTTTCATTTGCATGTTTCTTCTTTATTGTAAGATGTGTACTAAGTGCACACACAAGACAGTCCACAGCAAACATTATGTGATTTACCCAAATTCCGTTACAATGCAGAAATATGTGCAGGTGAATCCTAATAAGGCGTACATTTTATGCAACTTAAAACAGTATCAGCAAGACTATTGTAGAGAATTACCAACCCTGCAGAAGTGGCACAAAGTCATTTTGTCCTGCAACCTGCTGACATGCTCCCAGTGTCTGTACACAGAGATCAGACTGTGTGCCAGAGTCACTGGTCAGACGTGGCTTTGCTTCAGGGCTTCCCTTCTGTCATTTGGCTCTTTCAACTGAAAACAGTACTCCAAATAATAGCTGGAGCTGAGTACAAACAAACGTTTGCCAAATAATGTGTGCTGGTTTCAGTATCCTGCAGCAGAGCAACTCTGATTTCATTTCGGAGTACACTCGCAGAAACAGTGCTGAGGATGTGAGACTGAAAAGTAAGGAGTGATTAAGAATTAGCTGTGTGGGCTGCCCCTGCACCAGCTGCTCAGCAGCTGATATCATAAACCTCATCATAGTTTAAAAGAATAGTTTGACACAAATCGGTGGAGGAACATTATCACCAATTTGTATTTGGCTTCTCGAGAGGCTTATTTAACCAATCCTGTGGCATATATATAAAAAAACCAATCTGATTACATGACCTAAGGGGTGCACAGATTTTGACAACAAAATGAAGAAGCTACAGGGGGAAAGGATAAAAAAGGCTTTACAACATGCTTCGCTGAAGCAAGCAATATATTGGCTAGAAATGTCATCAACAAATGCATTTTTGATATAGTCCCCTATAGTCATTTATCATATCATATGATATTCCTATATTTATACAGGGGTTTAAATCATATCCAGCGAGGTTCAGCAACTTCAGAGTGAGTTAATAATTTGAATATTTTCAAAAGAATCCCACAGTGGCTTACGAGAAATCCCAAGCTTATGAAAAACTGTGTTTATACCTCATGTCGTTCTCCAACTTGTTTATCATATAACAGGATATGTTTTAACCACAAAACAGTGATTTATTATTATTATTTTCCTATTTTCTCATATCTTGCCAGTGTAAAATCAGTAAATCTGCCAGTTTGAACTTCTTGTCGAGTTGCTCACCAGGATAAGTGATTTGTCTCCCGGTAGTCTGCCACAGATGGAGATAAATTAGTCCAACGTAGTGGCCGTTGTTACATCTCACAGATATTTATGGGCTAATCACCACGTCACCATTCATAAATATATCTCCCCATCTGTTGTTATTATTTTGGAATGACTCATTATCAGGTAATTTCTCATTTGCTCCTCACTCCTTCCTCAGTAATTATTCAGATTTTTGCTGCCGTATTGTTAAGCCGTTATCTTCTGTCTGTCTGTCTGTGATTAGGTGCTGAGCAAGAAGTGTACAGTGGGTTTATTAGAGGTTTTTAGTTAATAACTGTTTCCCAAAGACACACTCAGCTGAACCTTCGAGGCGAGATGAAAAGTGATGATTGGTTCTTTCCCACAAACAACCTTTTTCACAGTACATGTAGCTACTTCATCTATTAGGAATATAAAAATATGAATCATAGCAGCACTAAACCTTGTCTGGAGATGTCATCTGCAATTTTCATTCATTAACTTTTCTTTTATGTTTTTTTAATTAAAAAAAAAATTCTGATTGAGTCATCCTTTTTTCTTGTTGTTCTTAAAGCAGC